ACCACGAGGAGGGAAGGATGAAGGTCACCGAAGGTCACTGACCTGAAAACTCATCTTCACTCACGATAAATGTAAAAGTTGTCTCCACTCATACAAGCTTTAATCGGCTGAGCTCCATCGCACATCAGAGACCTGACGGCATCGTATCTTCCCAACAGAGCACCTCGTCCTCAGACCTGGAGGCCGATCCTTCCTCCATCCTCTGCTGTGGAATCAGCTCCCAGTTTGGGCTCAGAAGGCAGAAAGTGGCTCTGCTTTATGATTTAGCTTAAAAAATGTTCCCTTTAAAAGAAGATTATAGTTAAAGCTGCTCAGGTGACTCTGAACCATCCCTCAGTGACGCTGCTAGAGGCCCTGACTGCTGACAGACTTCCCATGATGCACTGGGCTCCTCCACACTGATTCACTTTTTAATGTCATGAACTTTGAGTCTTCTATCTCTTTTAGTTATGCTTTGTTCTGCAGAGCTTCATGTTTCTGATCCTTTAAACTCAACATTTAAAGTGACATTTTGAAATTCCATCCACCCATTAGTTGTACCTGCTCTTAAGTTTTTAAGGGTTTCTCTTTGTCACACTTATGTGCTTCAGAATTCCCTTAAAGTTTTCTAAATTATTGCACAGACACCTTAAATTAAGACTTTCCTTAAAGTTAAGGTTTTCTTAGAATAAAATCAGTTATACAAAACACCCTTAAGTCTTCCCCTTAAAGTTTCCTGACCTCATTGTTTTATGTATTTAAGGGTTTCTCCTTATCTTGGTCCTCAAAAACCCTTAAAATTCACTTCCTTTTTGCACCAAACACCTTTAGTTAAGAGTTACAGTTTAGTTTTCTTTGTATAACATCTGTTGAACTAAACAGCTTTCAGTCATTTACTTTAAATGTTCAAGGAAAAATGCCCTTAAGTCCCTTCGCTGAGGAAATATTAAGCCTTAAGTGTCAGACATTATATCTTAAGGTTAACGTGTGTCACTCTGATATTCCTACAAATCTACAGTTTCATCCAGCAGACGCTTTTATCCAAAGCAACGCACACCTGAGAGCAGATACAACACAAGCAAGGATCCAGTCAGGAGAAAACAATCTGGATCAGTGCCATAGAACAAGTTCAGGTGTGAACTTCCCTGTCCAGTGGTGGCAGAGAACCAACATGAAGAAGCAGATTGTTGAAATTTAATAGTAAGTATATTTACTTACACTATATTTACAGTTCCATGATGTTGAATTAATCTCCAGGATGGACAAAGTCCAAAACAACAAGTAACCAGATCTATCTAAAGAAACCAAACTGTATCTACAGTAAATAATATTCTAGAGGAGTGTCCATTCTGATAACATTCACGGCCGTCACCGTCTCATTTAGCAAGAAAACTGTCAACAAGCTCGTCAAGCTGCTTGTGATCAACATCTCCACCCCTGATAGAAGCAGTCCAGGTAAAGCCACAGCTCAAGCTCATTAGTTATCTAACAGTGAGCCGCTGGAAGGCCAGAATCCATCCACATCTGAGTATTTGTTCCTGCTGAGAGAAGGCAGGCGGGAGAATCTGAAGACAACTGGAAGAAGGTTCTTTAATCAGACTAGATGCTGTATTTGGCCGAAACCCAACCCTGCACACCATCACAAACACACCATCCTTACCATGAAGCACGGTGGTGGCAGCGTCATGATGTGGGGATCTTCTCAGCAGCAGCCTTGAAGGCTTGTGAAGGTAGAGATCTAAAGTCTAGAGAAATCCTGGAGGACAACCTGATGCAGTCTGCAGGAGAACTGAGACTTGGAGAAGACTTGTTTCCTACCAAGACAATGAGCCGAAGCAAACAGCCAAAGCTCCACAGAGATGGTTTGAAGACAACAAGGTGAAGTTCTGGAGGCCCAGTCAGAGTCCAGACCAACTGTTCAGCTCCTGCAATATGTGGATGAAGAATTAATTTTACTGACCACATTCAAATCAACAACTTCCAACAGTAAACGTGACTTCAGCTACAATTTAATTTCTTTTTCACCCTTTTTTTTTTAACCTTTATTCAATCAGAATCAGAGCAACAGCATCATAAACTCACCAAAACACGTCACAAGTCATCAGCGAATGTGAACTAATCTGAACACGTACATTCAAATGTGTCTGTCTGACAATAAAACACTAAATGTGCCATAATTAGAGTTCGGCAAAGTGCCTTGTGATTGGTTGACGCCGCCTTAAACGCCCCATGTTCACTCCCTCCACAGGTGTTTTCACTTCTAGTCCCAGACTAGACGTCTTCTCCGCTCCGTGCAGGTTTTTCCCCCCGACTGTGACCGTCTCTATTTTCACCGCCATCATTACCGTTCGTCAGACTTTCCAGCGCAGCTCCACAGATCTAATTATCAGAGTAATTCAGCTCACCTGTGTGGGCGTTCAGGGCCTTTCACTTCGTCTCAATCTGGCCTCTTGTCACGCGGTGAAGCCGAAGCGTCTGGTGTCCCGGCTGACATTATGAGAGTGCAGCAATGTAGATTCTCACAGGTTTGGTCGCTCGCTGCACAGAGCATATGGTGATAAACTCGGTTATCTACAGTGTATTGTAGGTACTTGTGCTTCCTCTGAGCATACACTTCCATTTTGTGCTACTTTTTTTTACATCACTAGAATACAAATATAAATTTACCAACCTCAAAGTATGATCAGATTTAAGATCTCAACAGTATGAATTAGTCCAAATGAAGCTTCACCTGCAACAACAACAACACCGCTGCTTTTACACAATATTTTGAAAAAGTGGTTGATAGTGGCCTGGCTAAACTTTAAATAGTATTTTACTGGCGAGAAGAAACCTAAAGAAGTGGTTCTGATGTACGTTAATGTCATATTCTCGCAATGCAAATCAATAAAACATATGTTTCATGTGAAAGTGTAATGATTATTGAGGGAAGACGCTGGAATCTTTGTCATTTATTAAAGGTCTTCTGGAAATATTACAAAAATACACACACAGCAACGTGAATGATCAGTTTTAGTCATGTATACATTTCTTCTAATCAAACTTTCCTAGTGGCTTCTTAACCTCTCATAGATGATTACAGTTGACTCCAGCTGCTGACTCCTCTGATCCAGTTTCAACAGAACCATCTGATCCACTTACTGGACAGAAACACTACAGTGGGAAAGTCTGAGGAGCTCAGCAAAGATCTGAAAGAGCAAATCAGTGACTGGAACAAGTCAGGAGAAACATGCTTCAGCTCCAGAACCATCAGTGTGTCAGCATAAAGTTCATGGTCCAGTTGTGTTACTGCCACCATCAGGAAGGAAACACAAACTAGCAGCTGCTGCTGAGAGACGACTGGTCAGGATGGTCAAGAGTCAACCAGGAACCAGCAGGAAGCAGCTCTGGATGGACCAGAAGCTGCTGGAACACAGCTGTCAGTGTCCACAGGGTCTGACATCAACATGAGCTGAGAGGCTGATGGAGAAGGAAGTTCTTCCTCCAGAAGCAGAACCTTAAAGCTCCACTGAAGGCTGCTGCTGGTCACATGGACAAAGAAATTCCAACACTGAACAGAACCATGTCTGGAGGAGAGAAGGTGAGGCCTTTAACCCCAAGAACACCAAACCTACCATCAAGCATGGAGGTGGCAGCATCATGCTCTGGTTCTGTTCTGCTGCAGAAGGTTGATCTTGGACACAGGTGGATGTTCCAACCAGACAATGAGCCCAAACACACATCAAAGTGGTGAAGAAATGGTTCCATCAGGCTGGAATGAAGGTTCTAGACTGGTCTCCCCAAAGTCCTGACTGAAACCATCCAGAACCTGTGGACTGATGAAGGAACAAGTCTGAGTCAGAAAGACGACAAGTTTAGTTGAACTGCAGCGATTCTGTACAGAGGAGTCAGAGATGGACCAGAAGCTGGTGGACGGAGACCAGAAGAACCAGACTGAGGAGAAAATAGACATCTGACCAATTATTAGAAATACTGTGACTATATTTTTGACCCATATTTCCAGAAGACCTTCAATAAATCTATGAAAGAACCAACAACATGCATGACTGTGTGTTTGTGACAAAGGTTCAATGATTCAATCATAGAAGCTTCAGAGTTACAGGAGTCACTAGAAACTCAAGACAGTCATGATAAATATGGTTTATATAAGTGTTCGGAAACTTGTGAGCACAACTAGACGTATAGGTATGTATGTAGACACCGTTAGGTTTAGCGAAAATGTTCAGACGTATTTAGAAATCCCACTGCTAATTCTGTTCTAGTTTTGTTTTTCAAGACACTTTATATTTTCCAGCACTGTTTAGCTCATTTAATAGTTTGTTCTACTTCACTGTAGAGTGCAGCAGGTTTCTTTTATTGTTATCATTATAACCTGTCTTCAGGTGATGCCCCACTAGCAGATGTGTCTATATTGTAATATCAGAAAATGCAGGAACACAGAGCAGCTCTGTTTGGGAGGAATGATGAACTCTGTGATGACTGGAGGAGTTATTTAAGGTGCGACTGCATCAAAAGTGTAAAATTATTTTTAAACAAGCTGAACAAAGCAGTTTGGAGCCTCTCTCATTTGGCTAAAAGGTTTCCCAAAATAGTTGTTGTGTTTCTGTTCTTAGCTTTTTGCTGCTGCGGTCCTGAACACACCGGCATTGTTTGCGCATGTGCTGAATCACCGTGAAGCCAAATAAAGCCACTTTGAATCAGATGCGAAACATGCTCGGCTGCACAATTTCACTTTTTCTTTTTTTTTTCTTTTTAATCCCGTGAACTTTTACGCACACGCCGGTGCGTGCGTAAACTTGTCGATTACGCACACACAGAGGGTTTCCCCGCAACTGGTGCGCGCGTCTCGGCTTTTCAGTTTTTTTGTTTTTTTTTATCCTGCCAGTGAACCGAGACGCGCGCACGCACACACATGCACACGCACAGAGAAAGAGAGAGAGAGCGAGAGGGAGAGAGAGGGAGTCGGTCTCGTCGCTTCCGCCTTCAGACTCTTCAGACAAACATCGCTTCACTACGAGCTCCGAGGTGTCGAGCAGCAGCAGCAGCAGCAGCAGCAGCACATGACAGCCGAACCTCCGCAACTAAACTACGAGCATTCACCCGGAGCGCAAACCAACAGAGGATTTCTGCGCCTGAAACGTTTCGGACTCTCTGCTGAAAACACTCAGACACTCGTGGAACAAAAACACTTTTTTTTTTTTTTTTTTCCTGAAGGAGGATTTTGTTTGTTTGGGTGGAAAAAAAAGTGAAGAAAGAGAAACCGGCGAGTGCGTCGAGCGAAGTTTTTTGGAATCAGCTCGAAGCGCGCAGCAGCAGCAGCAGGAGGAGAAGTTTTGGTTCAGTGGCGCACACAGGAGCTTCATCCTCGGCTTGTTTCTGCCTGGATCTGCCTCTTGGATCGCGGAGGAGCGTCCCGGGGAGGTTGGGAGAGTCCGGAGCGGGGCTGAGGTAGGAGAACACCGGCCTGCTGTGAGCCGGGACCCCCATCTGAGCACATGAATGCTGGTTATTGATGCTGTGGGCACATTTCTAGGCCTGGACATCCGCTTAGTTGGTGGGAAACCAAAAATATTTAGGGAGTTTTAGACAAACTCATCCTCATTTGAAATTGATTTAGTGTTTTTGAGAGCCTTCTCGTGGATTTCTGTCTTATTTTCTGCATTTTAAGGCTTCAGAATGTAGACTTGAATCCACCCACCAGAGCTGGATCAGTCCCAAACCCCTCATCTTTCTCTTTCACACCTTTTTCACATAACAAAATGTAAATATGGTGCAAAACTGAGCACATTAAAGCCTTTTATTTCACTTTAATGCAGTAAATAAAGAGGACTCCAGGCCTGGAAATACAGCCATTGGGGAGTTTTCACATAAATTCAGCTTCATTTTGAGTAAATTTAGTTAATTTGAAGCCGTCATGCACCTCAGAAAGCAGTTTTTTTGGCTTTGCATAGCTGAAGGTGGAAGTCTGAGAGCATTTTGTGGCATCTGAGTCCAGAGTGGAACCCACTTATCGAAGGATTAAAGGCCGAGAAATGCTGCTGTTTGAGTTTTCAGATAATTCAACCTTATTTTTATTGAATTTTGTCCATTTCAAGTGGCCAAGCCTCTTTATGTTGTCGTTAAACCGCTAAAGGTTGGAATTGGCATCGTTTTAAGGCATCAGTATGCAGAACTGGATCCACTTAACAAAGCTGGATCGATCCTAAACACGTTATCTGACCTTATCTCAGCTTTCTGGAGCTGCAGCGTGACTAAATGTAAAAATACTGCAAAACTGAGCACATTAGAGGCTTTTATTGCACTTAGATGCAGTGAATCTCAAGGGTTTGAGTTACAGAAATGCAACTATTTGAGGAGTTTCCATATAAATCCAGCCTTGTATTGCGTTTTTTCAGCGTTGCATGGCTGCATTTTTGAGTCGGACAGCATGTTGTGGCATCTGAATCCAGAACTGAACACCTTATTTACTGTTTTACGCCTTTTTGTAAGTAATAAAATGTAAATATGCTGCAGAATGGGGCACATTATGGTCATTTATTACACTGTACTGCAGTTAATACAGAAGATTTTAGGCCTAGAAATGCTGCAATATAAACTTTTCAATAAATTAATACTTATTTTTAATGAATTTCGGTCATTTCAAGCTGCCGAGCACCTTAAAGTGCTGTTTTTTAGCATTACATAGCTAAAGGTTGACATTATAAGGAGCATTGGAGGTCTAGAAATGTGACTATTTGAAGATTTTGTAAATAAATTCATCCCTTTGTCGCTGTTTCTAGCAAATGTTGGAGTCTTGGCAGCTTTTTATCAACCTTATCAGAGCTAAATCATTCCCAAATATCTTATCTGCTCTGTTTTTGTTTCAGCCTCCAGCAGCTGCATGTAACAAAAAGTAAATATGGCGTCGAGCCGAAACTCAAATATTGACGTTCAAATGACTAAAACTCAAGTTTTTCCAGATTTTGTGCAAATTGTCTTTGAGCTTTATGCAAATGTGTCTCTAATATAAGTTCTGGGAACAAACCAAACCTGCTGCAACATGAACTCTGCTCCCTAAAAAATTATTCAAATAATACGTATCTGTTTTCTCATAAAAAGAGAGTTTTCCTCTCCAGGAATCCAACACTTGAATTTGCAGGTTTAGATTTCAGATTATTTCTCTGGTTGCAACTAATGATTGTTTTTCAAATCTTTAATTAATTCCTGACTATTTGTTTTCTCTGATAGCAGCGAAAATGCTCAGACCACTTTAAACGTCGCCTTGTTTTGTTCACAAAGTCCAAATCTGGCTGCAACTAATCATCGTTTCTGTTGCTGATCAATCAGGCGATCATTTTCTGCATTAATCAATCAGTTATTTGGTTTAAGAACACGTATTGTTTTGTCCACAACCCAGAAATCTTCAGTTTATTGTCACAGAGGAGGAAAGAAACCGGAAAATATTCACATTTAAGAAGCTGGAATCAGAGAATTTAGTATTTTCTAGTTCTTAAAAATCACTCAAAGCAATTAATTGATCATAAAGATAGTTGATTTGTTGATTAAATGTTACAGCTGTGAGTCTAAAACCCCAAAATAATCCCCTGGTGTAAGAATAAAACAACAAATCCTCATGTTGGAGACGCATTTGAATAAAATTTGCCTCCAGCAAACAGGTGATTATTTTTCTCTCAGCCCATTAAACAGCTGATTGTTGCAGCTTGTTTTATTTCTGCTGTGCTTCATGTGATGTTAAACTGCAATATTTAGATATTTATTCATGCGTAATGACGTTAATGGAAACTGGCTTGTGGTGGAGTTTTAGAATCAGGCAGAATGTCGAGTTTTTACTGAATCTGGAGCAAAAATCTCCTAAAAATGCGACTCCAGGGTGGATGACTGGTGCGTCTGTGTCGAGCTGCAGTGAAACGTCTCACTGCAGACCAACGGGAGAGTCATCGTGCACGACTCGTGAACTCCTTCGTCAGCTCTGGCGTTGCTGTTTTCTTTCGCTTTATTGCCCACTTGTGTGGGCGGCCGGACAGTTTGCTTCGGTCCCACTCGCCGACACAAACACACACAAACACTGACGAGTGGCTCCGAGCAGCAAAGTGTTTGGACAAATCTGCACTTTTGCTTTTGCTCGTGCGGCTGCACCATATTGGGTTTCTGCTGATTTTTAATTCCAGCTTATTTTTGGCCAATTGCTGATATATGCAAAAATATTTTTTCCCACCTAATTGCAGAAAGTTCCTCCTGCAGCAGAACGATGACCTGTTAATGTAAATCAGGCTTTTATTGTGGTGGCACACTGCAGGCTGCACGATATTGAGAAGAAAAAAAAATGACATTAATTCATTATTTCTGCTGTTTTGGAACAAATTAATCCTTCTGGAAAGTTTGGAGTTCATTAGTAGGGGAGAGCACGTCACTAAAAATAAAAAATAATTTGATTTCGCAGGTGTTTTCGACAGCAGAGCTCTGTGTTGCTGATTTAAATGGTCAAACAAATGAGCCTGGTGGTGTGGCAGCAGCAATCACAGAAGCTGTTTCTGCTCATCGCTCACCTTTCTGTAGCTGCTGTTTGCTGTTGCAACCAAATCTTCCTTTTTTGTGTTGTGCACACGTCCCTGCATGACAACAGACTCTGTTTCTGTCAAATAAAGTTAACGTTTGAGTTCATTTGACCTTAATTTACACTGAATTTCTGCAATTTAATGCTTAAAAAATGTATCGTGCACCTTTAGCAGAGACAAAAAAGACAAATGTTCAGTATAAAACCTGGCATTTTTATTTTTATGCCACATTTTCAGACTAAATTCTAGTTTTTTTTGGATAATCCTTCTGTCCCAGTGCTACTACTGGATATCTGGTGTGTTGTCTGACGTATTCACACTGTTTAGACGCGTGACCTGTTAAATAATCCTATTATTTAATATTATTATAGGTATTTTATGAGCAGAATCATCTTGAATGTAGGTGTAGACGCAGCACGGTGCCCTGGCTGCCTCCTGTTGGACCAGTCGGTCTCTGGGTTTGAAGAACGTCCACTTTGCTGTTATGTTCAGTCTGAGGATCCTGTGGGGGGAACTTGGACCACAGAGTTGATAATCTGTCTGTCCTTCAGCACAAAGAGGAGAAGCTGTGCAGAGCAGCGAGGCGGTTTGTGGTGCTGCTTCATTAGCCGTTGTGTTCACAAAGTAAACCCACTAACTTCTGCATGAAAGACTCAGAACAGACAACTGAACCAAAATAGCCGGCGGACACCTCTCCTTCCTCCTCACTCTGCTGCTCTCCGGCCAGTCCTGCCTGCTTTGGTTTGTCCCTCTCAGCCTTCCCGTCGGCGTCCTGCAGGACTTTGCAGCGAGCCGTGGTGCTTCGGCGTGAAGAGATGCATCCATTCGCACCGTCCTCGGCCCCTCTGGCAGCGTCACGCCCCGATAAGGAAATCCCGTGTTTACGCCGCGGTTCACGACCCGAAAGTCTTAACTTGCTTGGAATCAAAACACGAGCCGGAGCAGTTTTTGTAGCCGAGCACGTGACGGGAACTCCGGCGAGCTTCAAAGAGCTGCAGAGCTGGACGGAAAAACATCTGAGAAGATCCTGGTTCAGAGACACGGAGGCTTCGCTTCAGTTCAGTTCTGTGTGTTTGTGCTGCGTCATCAGCCGCATTAACTGTCCGTTTACTGAAACAAAGAGAAAATGAAATCAACTGAAACTCGACCTGGAAATCAGCTCGTTTGTCTGTAGATGAACTGAAAGTTCCACAGAACACAGAGTGACTCCATCAGCATAAACCAGCTCTACAGCAGCACAGAAAGCTCAGATTTAGAGCAGATTAAATCTGAACCTGCTTGTTTTCTACTGAAACAGATCAACTGCACAAATTCATATGATTTATAGAAGTACAAATATATTAACACGTGATTTTGCATTTTTTTTCTTGTAATTTGACAACTTTTTGTAATGACTTTGCATGTTTCTGTGGTGATTTTGTGGATTCATGCGGTAGTTTTGTGTGTTTTTGGCGTTTTTTTATTCCTTTTTGTGGTGATTTTGCGTCGTTTCTCTACTTGCGAGCGTTATTGTCGTACGACAGCCCTGCTCGGTTCTTTCTCGGTTCTTACCCATTTTACTGACAGTTCTGCGTGCAGATATTCCAACAAAACAATTCCCGGGTCGCTATTCTGCAGGGGCACCATCACTGCATCCTGGGCTCAGCTCCAAGACGATCGTTATTGATGTTTTTGAATAAATAAAATATTTCATTTATAATATATCACAAGAATCATCATTTAAAGCCTCTCATGGCAGGAATTTGAAAAGACCCCAAACTTTTTCAGCCCAGCAGCACTTTTGTCGTCCCCGTTTTTTTCAGAGATGCTGAAGCCACAAAAGTACTGCAGCGGCTTTAAATAATTTAGTCCAACTCGTCCATATTTGACCTTCACTGTGTTGATGAGCTTCCATCACTGATCTGTTGCACCCAGAAACACAGATCATTTTGTTAATTTGTTTGCGACTTCAGCACAACTTTTAAAATATGCACTTAAGTACACTTTTCGTATGTTTTGTGCAGTCAAGTGTCTTTTAACTCTTTGAAACACAGTCTGATTGTTTGTTTGAAGAGACGAAGCTTCTTCTTTATCATTCCACTGAACGGGAAAAGACGATATTTACCTTCAGTCCTCATTAATTCCACTTTCAGACGATCGCTTTGCATTTGAAATGTCGTAGAAATGAAAATACCTGCAATCAGGACTGAGGGTTCAGGCTCATAAATCAAACTGTGAACTCTTTATAATCAGTCTTTGGTCTGATGGAGGTACGAGGATGCGTTCCACTGATGTTTTACTGGACGTTTAAACTGCACGCTGAAGCTGATTTGCATTCAGGACGCGATACCACGAGCTATTATACAAAGTCTGAACTAAAATCTGTTTGGCTTGATTGTTGATGGAGCCTGAGTTTGTCCATATAATAAAATCTGGAGCTCTCGGCCGACTCGGTTTTGCTTTCGGGCTGAATTTTAAAAAGTTGTTCCGGTTTATTTTGGGTGAAATGATCCTACAACAGCCTCTGCTTTATTAGAATAAAGAACCTCATAATCACCGACTTCTGGAGCAGATCTGACCAAAAACACTGGATGTGTTGTCTGTAAATGGACAAATTCTCTTTCACTCCACTTCCCACAGTCGGGTTTGAACCTTTCCTGCATCTTTTTCTCTCATTCTTGTCGTTTTCTGGCTTTCTTTCTGCCTTTCTGTGTTTAACTCCTTATCTCTCCGGCTTCACTCGGCCTTCCCTCTCCGTCATTCTGCCCTTTTCCATGTGTCTCCCTCATTTTTCTCCCTGAAAGAATGTTACCTTGACCTTTTTTTCTCCAAAAAAGAAAAAAAAAAAGTATTTTTAGACCCTGAAGCAAATCTCAAACAAACAGAGGAGCTGCCGGATCGAGCAGAGTTTGAACTTCGGTCCTTTGTGCTGCTGCTTCTTTTAGAACAAGAAGTTTTACTCGCCGGCGTGTCGAATAAAAAGCAAAATGATCACTGCTGGATCTGTAACAAGCCGGCTGTTGGATTCAAAACCCTCAGCTTTTAAGGAGCAGAAACTCAGGATTATTATTTTTCCTTTCATCTGTCCGCCGGCTCATTTTCTCTCTCTGTTATTTCTGCTTTACTTTATTCTTGACAGGAACAATGATGTCTTTGTTTTTGGTTAATGACAGAACTGCATGAATAATCTTCTGTGTCTGGTCAGAAATCACTTCCCAGGAATGGAAAATTTAACTTCCTGTATCTGGCTTTTTTAACAAAAAGAATGTTTTTCAATTTTACTCAGATTTCTAATAACTTTTCGGGCTTAAATGCAGTAAAATTAATTATTCTGACAGTTTATTAATAGAGTTTTTGTCACATAAGTGTTGATCGCAGCCGAGTCACTAATGACTTTCTAGTTGCGCCAAAAAATGCAGAATTTTTTAGTTTTTTACAGAAAGTAGTCGATGCGCTGAGTTTATTTTTGGTGAATTTTTAAATGATTCTAGGATGATTACTGCAAAGACACTCAGAAATCCCATGATCCTTCTGTTGAAAAACGGTGCCGTTGTGGTGTTTTTTGTACGGATAGCCTGACTTTAATCATTTTATGGCTTTAGATGCAGTAAAATTATCTCTTCTGCCCTAATTTCTGTCACATGAATGTCGTCTACATGTGAGTCACTAATAACTTTCCCGTGGCGCTGAAGAGTGGAGAATCTTTTGGGATTTTTTTACAGAATCTGCTTGACTTTTGTTGAACATTTAAACGAGACCTGTGATGAAATATCCCAATTTTAAGCTTAGATCTGGTTTAGACGATGAGTTCGAGGACCCTCAGGAAGTTCAAAATGTGATTATTCTTCTGTTTGTGCAGTTTCTGGCTCTGAAAAATGCTGCAGTTGTGCAAAAATAAGAATCCTTTTCTAATTTCAAAGGTTTAGATGCAGTAAAATGAATTCTTCTGTCAGGTTTTTTTAATTTAATTCCTGTCACATGGCTGTTTGTCGCAGCTGAGTCACTAATATCTTTCCAGTTGCGCCAAAGAATGCAGAATTTTTTGTTTTTTACAGAATCTGATTCGTGCACAGAGTTTATTTTTGGTGAATTTTTAAATGAGACAAAGCAATTTTATTGAATATCTCAGTTTTAAGCTTAGATTCGGTTTGGATGATGAGTTCAAGGACCCTCAGAAAGTTGAAAATCTGCTGATAATTCTTCTGTTTGTGCAGTTTCTGTCTCTGAAAACGACGCAGCAGTGCAAATATAAAACAGCTTCAATCATTTTGAGGGCGTAGATGCAGTTAAATAACTTCTCCGGGTCTGTTTCTGTCTCCAGCGGCCGGATGCAGAAGAAACCCTGAAGCCTCCAGCAGCTCCAGGGGAGATATTCCGATGTGTCCCCAGCGCTCAGAGCCCCTGGCCCGGCCGCGGGGATGGCAGCCTCGGCCCTGAACCTCAACGGCCTCGGAGTCATGAACAGGTTTGTGTTTTTTTTTTTTATCTTTCTTTTTCCTGGAAGGTTCCTGCTGCGGAAATATGTTGCTGCTGAGAAGCTGCTAGACCGGATCAGCAGGACGACTTTTGATTTCTGATGAATTTCTGCGTACAGGAAGAGATGCCACACAAAGCTGTGAGAGATTTATGATCCGATTATTTTTAGCCCCTTTTGAAGTCCAGGTTTCTGAGGTTACTCGTCCTAATGTTGGTTATGATGGTTGGTTACCAACTGTTTACACAATTTGTTCATCGGTTTGATCATTTTTTGGGAAAAAAAGGCAAAATTTTCTGATTAAAGCTTCTTAAATGTGAATATTTTCTGGGTTCTTTCCTCTTCTTTGACTGTAAACTCAGTATTTTTTGGACAGTGATGGACATTTTTTGACATTTTCTGACATTTTCTACATTTTTTAGACTAAACAGCTGATCAGTCAGTTGATTGCAAGCGTTTTTGTTTATTATTCATCTAAAAATATGAACTATGAGCTCTTCTAATCCCTAAATCTAGAGTGTAAAATACAACTAAATCAATGTATATCCCATTATACTTTAAATTGTCACCTGCTTCTGGAGTTTTGCGTTTTTCTTTACATAAATAAAAATCTTTCCACTTTGAACTGATGCAGAAAAAGAGCAAATCTGTGAAAAAAGATTCACAACAATGCAAAAAAATAAAAAATGCAATATTTAGATGAAACCTGCTTCCACCCAGAAACCTAATATGATATGATATAAATACTGATGAATATTTTCTGAGGTATTTTTAAATGTGAGATCACTTCTTTATAAAGAACCGGACCTCCTCAGAAGCAGCTGCTTTTTCATCTACAGTGACTTTAGTTTAATTAATGAATCCGCATCAAGTTTGACCTTCATACTGTGAATATTTTCAGGGTTAAAGGCCCAAATTCACACTTTTTTGTGGACTTTTCCATCATTTCTGAGCCTCATCAGTGCAGCAGACAGACACATGACGTGTAGGAGGAAGAACACGTCTGAGTTCTGGTGAAACTCCCTGAATTCTAAAATTATTTTGAAATACAGAGTGAATCATGTCTATGAAATGATCAGCTGGTATCTGCTGGAGGTAAAACAGTCCTTCCATTGTCTAGAACTGGTTCTGACCAACCACCATCACACATGCTGATATGAGCTGAGTCGCTACTGATTTAACAGTCGTGCCGAAAAATGCAGAATTTTTTGTTTTTTTACAAAATCTTTTTAGTGCACAGAGTTTGTTTTTGGTTCAGAATGACACTGAAATTGTCAAATTTATCTAAAAAATATAGACAAACAATCCTGTAGAACAAAACCCAGATGTGCTGTTCAGACTGTGACACCTGGATGGATGTAAAACTGACCTGGTGTCAGTTTTTATTTTACCAGAACTCAAACCCTGAACATGTCATGTGTCTGTCTGCTGTACTGATGAAGTTCTGAGGCTCAGAAATGATGGAAAAAGTCCATTAAAAAGTGAAATCTGGACCTTTAACCCTGAAACCATTCACAGCATGAAGGTAGAACTCTACATGGATTCATTAAATACACTAGAGCTCCTGTAGCCGGTTCTGAGGAGGTCCGAGGGGATAAACTGATTGATTTGTGATTACTTCCCGTCCTCCTGCAGCAGTAACCAGATCCACGCCCAGCCAGGCTCCTCCAGCGCCGCCTCCCGGACCAGAACCAGCCCCGTGGCCCGGCCCGTGCTGCAGGTTCCGGACCGGAGCACCTACTGCCAGCTGCTGGGCGGAGGCCTGTACAGCCCCACGAGCCCCAAGGTAGCGCCGGCCGCCCCGCTGTCCTGTTGGTGGAACACTCGAGCGGCGCTGCAGCTGCCGGGTTTCACTGTTCCACCAGAATTTTCCATTTCGTCTCCGTTTAACCTTCTGAACTGTTTTTCGGTCCCATTTTTCTTCACTGTGGTTCATTTTCAGTAAAATATGAAGTCCAACTATGAAAAGAAGCAGCGAGAACTCAGAAAAGTCTCCTGAAATCATAAAAATAAGCCAAAACGAAAGTCGCATTGGTTTGATTTTTTATTTTGCAAAAATTTAAACAGGCTGGACTCACAGCCTGAAGTTCAGCCGAAAACTTTCAGAATTTTTTACGCGTGACTGTTGGTCACAACGGAGTCACTGATGTGATTTACAGCTGCGCAAAAAAATCCAAAATTAGTTGTTTTTTATAGAATCTTGGTACTGCACACGGTTTGTTTTTGACTTTATTTTTTATTTTTTAATTTTTTAATGAGACTACACTGCCTGCAGTTCAGCCATGACTGTCGATCACAGCCGAGTCAGTCGTGGCTTCATGGCTGCGTTGAAGGATGGAAATTTTTATGTTTTTACAGAATCTATTTCGAACAAACTTTATTTTTTGGCAAAATTTTAACTGAGACATGTGGAATAAAGGGGATTTGATGAAATATTGTAATTTTCATCTTAGATTTGGTTTAGACGATGAGTTCAATGACCTTCAGAAAGCTGAAAATCTGATAATTGTTTTGCTTTAACAGTTTCTGGCTTTGAAAAATGGGGCAGTCGTGGTGATTTTGTGACTGAAGGTTGCCAGTGAGACTTTTCAGGCTTTACAGTTGCACCAAAGAGAGAGTTTTTATTTTATTTTAACAGAATCTAGTTAGTGCACACAGTTTGTTTTTAGTGAATTTTTAAAGGAGGCATTTAGAATAAAGTGTTTTAATAAAACAGGATGCATTTAAGCTTCGATTTAGTTAATGTGATGAGTTCAAGGACCCTCAGAAAGTAAAAAACATCAGAGGATTCTTTCTTTTTGTTCAGTTTCTGGTTGTTTTGTGAAATTTTGCACCAAAAAAAGCCAAATTTTTTGTGTTTTAAAGCAGAATAAAGTGCTTTTAATGAAATATTATAATTTTAAACGTAGATCAGGTTATGATGATGAGTTCAGGGACCCTCAGAGAGTTTAAAATCTGATTATTCTTAAGTTGTGCAGTGATTTTTGTAAAGATAAGCCACCTTTTCAAATGTACTGCTGTGTTTTGAGGTTCTGGGGATTAAAGAAAATATAATTGAATATAGAATCGAATAAAAAATACTTTATTAATCCCTAAGAAGAAATGAAGTTGTTACAGCAGCAGACAGAAGGAGTAAAGTGACCACAAATACAGATAAATAAGTAGAAATAGTTGGTTAAATAAGGTAAAAAAATACACCATAATACAAAATGCACAATAAAGTGTAAAATATATGATATGTAAAGTGAAGAATGCAGCTTAAACTGTCAAATGCACAAATATACTGCAGTAAAAACACAGAAAAATGACCTTTTTTGCTTGTATTTGTAGTTTTATTGCCTCATAAGTGAAGTTAATCGTCTCCCAACTCGTATATTTGCCTCTCTTCTCATAAATAAGTGATTGTTGGTGCAGTTTTAATCATTTTTTTGTCCTCCCTCCTCCTCCAGACGAGTCCTCGGTCTTCGGGTCAAGCCTTCGTCTTCCCGTCTCCGCCGCTGCTCTCCCCCGGACCTCGTCCCCGATCCCCGTCGCCGCGGAGCCCCGAGCTGCTGGGGGTGAATGTCGGCCAGCGGGTCCGCCGCCTGAGCTCGCCGGGCGGGGAGGAGCGGGCCAACGGTGACGGGCGGGAGGAGAGGGGAGGCGAGCCGGCGGCAGGAGGCGAGAGGCGGGAGGAGAGGCGGCGTCAGGCCCAGCAGCTGCAGATCCACAGAGAGCTGCAGAACGTCGAGGTGAGTTCTTTCTAGGAACCGCCCAGCAGCAGAGCTCTGATTTACTGCGATCGAGTCACACCGTTAGAGGTGTGAAAGCTGAGCAGAGCTGAAGGAGAATGACTGTAAACCCACACGGCTCTGAGTTCCTGTGATGGAAAAGCAGCGTCGCTTGGTTTCCTCCTGAAAGGACGGTTCTCAGGGTCAAACGTTCACAACCTGCAGCGTGGACAGAACTTCCTGGAGAAAAGATTTAGCGGGTCAAGTTCAGGTTAAGTAGAAATAAAACCTGCTTGATGCATTATTATTGTTATCATTTATTGTGCATGAAGCCTGATTAGAGTCCGTCCTGTAGTCAGTGCTGTAGTGAAGATCTGAGACGAGCACATCGCACATTTTCCTGCAGAACTCCAGTAAATGTTCCACGACTGCATCCTGAACAAATCGTCTGATCGTGAATCAGCGTCAAGCTGAATAAAGATCGTTTGAATTACACTCTAAAAAAATAATGTTTGGGCAACAAAAACAGTTTGCATCATATTTTTGAGTTCAGTCGACTTCTCAAGAAATTAGGTTCAACCAACAAACTAAACGGAGTTGAGAGAATTATGTGCTTTTAATTAGCTCTTCATGATTAGTAGCTTAAATAAAAAACTTTGATTAGGTTGTACCAGACGGTATTTATGTGTTATTTTAAGTATTTTTCAAGCGCTAAGTATTTAATTACCATAATTACAAACACAAGTTAAGTTGACAAACGCTTGAAATATTAAGTTGATCCAATTTGATTTTCTTTATTACTTTTTTTTTTGCTTTTTCTGGTTTTATGTAACTAAGAAAGGATCAACTTCAACAACAAAACTGATGGTAATTAACTTTTATTTTTAACTTCAGTTGTGCGTTTCAACACAAAATATTTAAATCTTGACAGTAAAAGCAATAAACATTTTAATTTCCCCACAAATAATAAATATTCATGAACTTCAAACCTGAATGAAGGAAATCAGCTTTTCTTCTGCTTTCAAAGGCCATTTAATCACTTTGGTGGAATAAACAAGGTCTTAAGTTGATTACTCATAAAAATTAAGTTGCTCCAACAAGTTTTTTTTTTTTTTACTTAAGTCCCATAATTAGCATTGCAAAGTTTTTAAATTGGCAAATGTACAAAATATTAGATAAATAAAGAGGCACGAGAAAATATACGACATTTATTAAGTGAGCTCAGCTTAAAGTTCATTTGAATTCAACTTAATGCAGAAATGTGAGTTCATGTTACTCACAGTATTAAGCTGATGCAACACAAGTCATCAGAATAGTGCAGCAACCCAAATGGTTAAATTAGAGTTTTTGTCTTGCAGCCGTGCATTTCAGAGCATCACAACCTGCTGCTGTGTTTGAGCAGAGCTGAAGGCGAGCTGGTGTGCTGAGCTGCAGCGAGCGGTGGATGTTTCATAGATCTGCACGTTGTAGAATCACATCTAAGTTAATTTTAATGGTAAAAAACTTGTAAATATGCAAGATTTAAACACAGAGATGAGTTTAAAATGATTTTAAAAAAGCAAATTCTACACGATTAAAGCTGCAGGTTGCATGAAAAGGAGGTTTTATGTTCAACCACAGGAGTTTTAACAAATCAATCGGACAGTATGCAGGATGTTTGGTGATAAATCTGCAGTTCTGGGCTTCACTGGGATCAGATTCGGCTTCAAATCGAGTAAAAATGTGTTTAAAACTGTTCCGAACAGTCTCGACAACACCACAGTGAATCCAGCCTGCCACTTTTGTTTACCGGCTTTGTGTTGTTTGCTCTGCATTAATTAAGACAGTACAGACTGTTTGGAATTTAAATGACAAATATCACGGTGTTTGTCACGAACAGGCGCCGTTTATTGGTTTAGATTGGCTTTCCTTCCTGTTGGGATGAAGCCGGCGTACATTAGCACTCACTGTGAAGCTGCACACAGTCACACGTCCGCTTTGCCAGCACTCGTCTCAACGCCAGACCAGTGAAATGCTGGAATCGGGGCTCGTTTTTCTTCCATTTTCCTTAATGCTGGCGGCACACTCTGGTGCTTTTTTGCAGCTTCATGCCTCTGAGCTGAAAGCAGGACACCTGTGTGATAAGACAACTTTCTGCACCGATGGACCCGGACCTGAGCTGCTGTCTCTGTCTTGCAGGTCAGGGGGAAAGTGGGCATTTTCGAGGCCCACATCTCCGGGATTCGTGCCCAGGTGCTGAGCAGCGAGCTCCAGCGAAGCCCTCGGTCTCCCAGACGAGCGACGGGCCAAGCCTCTTCCCCTCCCAGCCCAGGAAGCGCTGCTGGTGAATGCCCAATGACCCACCCGGCGCAGGATAAAGTTCCCTGTGTTGTTCAGAACGGGAGAGAAAGGGAGGAGGAGGAAACAACGGAAGGAGCGCAGGCTGCTGAAACAAACGCTGATCAAAATGAGTGCAGCTCAGAAGCCGCCATGCAGAAGTCCTGCTCGGACGCGCTGCTCGACGCAGCGGCAGACGGAGGCAGAACCGACGGAGGCAGAACCGACGCAGGAGGAACGGAGGAGACGGTTGGAGGCGAGATGCTGCCGCAGACGGAGGCTCACCCAGAAACCGCCGCCTCGTCTGGGACACCGGCCAGCGAGAGCTCCCCTCCTCCGCTGGACGTCTCCTCCAACCACACTCCCTCCTCTCCTCCCTCCATCCCCGCCGTCATAGTGACCGACCACGGCTTGGAGAACCAGGCCCAGGCGTCCGAGGGCCCGGACCGGGGCCCCGGCGGCAGCCCCAGCTCCAGCCCCGGGCCCAACTTCTCCAACCGCTCCCTGAGGAAGCTGTCGTCCTCGTCGGCCTCCTCGGCCGGCTTCTCGTCGTCTTGGGAGGAGTCGGAGGAGGACATTTCCAGCGACACGGAGAAAGGAGAGCAGCTCCTCAACCCGGCGGTGCTCAGCTCTCAGCAGAAGGCGGTGAGTAGATCCACAGTCCTGGTTCTGTTTCTACCACATGCTGCTGTTTGGTGACCTCTGATTTTACATGGAGGTGACATTTAAAGACTTCACTCATCAGGAAGTGTGAGCTTTACCAGGACTTTAGACGATCTCACAGTTTTAAATCAGTTTTCCAGCGTCTCCATCGAGCTGTTCAATCACCTCATAGGGACTTTAAACTCGCTGACCACAGCTAATGCAGAATGAGTGGGTTTCTTTACGTTTCTTAATCCTCTGAACTCAAAAACCCGCCGGCAGCAGTTTAAAAATCAGGTTGCCTTTTTAAAAAATTGCCAAATTTCCACCCTTTAGCAGATCCAGAATCAGATGTTGAACTTTTCGAGGACTCCTGAACCACTTGATCTCTGACTGGTCG